CAAGGTTTGCAACATTAAATTCAATCAAGAAGGAATCGAGATAAAAGAAAAGAATTGCTTCTAATGGCTTATAAGAAGTAATCATTAAACGTTTTAGAAATTTCAGCTTATGCATAGCAATTTGAATAAACGCTTTCCACGTTGAAACGTAAACTACGCATTTCAAGTTACCGTGAACATTTCGAATTACATTTGTGCAAATTTTCCAACGTTTGGATAACAGGCATATTCATACTGTAACGTCGTGTGTAGGGATCTAACACCACGAGAAACAGACACAGTGAGTATATACAAGTTTATTTACACACTGTACATATTTACATCCTCACTCTAAGGCGGTTTGCCAGAGCTACCACTGCAGCCCTCTCTCCCTACGTGCGCCTTGCGGCGCGCCTACGACCAGCCTGCAAGGCCGCGTCGCAGATAGGCACCTGGTGTGCCCCGGTAGATTGACGATCTTCGCCCGAATGTGTTTGAAGAACACGACACCCTGTCGAACTCGTCGAACACCCACTTCCCTCGCACTCCGCACCAGCCTGGCGGACAAAGTTTTTGTGGTCTAGCCACGAGGAAACCAAAATCGTACCCAGCCGCGCCGTCTCGCCACGGCGTCTTTATAGGTCCAGTCACCTACCTCCTACGTCACTACTCCCCACCCCCGCGCGTGGAAAGCCTTTCCCTGGCGCTGCCTGGCCGCGGACGCATTTCCTGTCGGAAAGTCCGTTTGTTTGGGGTCTATCTTTAGATCCCCCACCCTCTACTTGCACTCGCTGCTGCCAAGCCGTGACGCACAGACTCCTCTATCCCGGGAAGAATTTTTTCGCAGGTAAAAACCACAGGAAAAAATTCAAATCGAGCAATGAAGGTCTCCCATCCTACAATTTTACTGTCTTCCCTGAAGATATCTCGATTAAAATTTGTTTCCCCAGTCTAATCTTAGGCTATTTCCCACAAATTTCCAACTTCTGGAATTTTACACTGATATAGTACATACATAACGCAAATACTGAGTTAACAATATCACATAGACAATACAGATTACAATACATACATAAACAATACGATTAATACTCATGTTTACAAGCTTTCAATAATATCTTGCTGCTTCTTGATTGGCCTCGATATATACAGATTCAAACAGATTACAATACATACATATTTTTACAGTTTTCAATAATAGTCTTGCTGCTTCTTGATGGGCTCGATATATACAGATTATAATACACAATATATATACACTGATTATTATAGAGTTCAATCACAATTTTTCCAATGTTATTTTTACACAACAATTCTTTTCTAAGTTATTTACATAACGATATCTGAGGTGATTCTATACAATATCAATAGGAACCCCGAAGTGCAACCATTTATATCACAAGATCAGTTCAGGTTCATTAAAAATGCGACTTAATGCGTCGGCATTCCCGTTATCCTTACCCTTTTTGTGGCAAATTTCGATGTCATAATGTTGTAGCATTAACGACCATCTCAATAATCTTGGTTATTCCCAGAACAATTCCTCAGCCATACTAATGAGGTTACTGATCAGTTTCGATCTTAATTTCACCTGCCCATCTAAATAATACCGCAATTTCTGAATCCCCAAATTATTGCTGTACATTCGGCTCAACTGTACTGAATTTTTTCTCTACATCCGTCAGTTTTCTACTCAAATATAGAACGGTTTTTCATTACCGTTCTCGTCGTTTGTGCTAACACTACACCTATACCTCTCTGACTTGCATCACACTGATTTGGAACTGTTTCGCGAAATCAGTGCTCTTAACACAGGTTCACAACATAAAGCTTCACGCAAACATTTCAAATGCTCTTTCACATTCTGGATTCCAATTTACTGTCCTGGGTCTTCCCCCGTAAAAAATCCGATAACGGAGCTGACATCTCGCCAAATCTGGAATAAATTTCCGGTAATACCCACATTACGAGAAAAATGTGACCTGTTTTTCGTGTTCGGCCTAGGAAACTCCCGAATCGCATGAACCTTCGCTTCTACCGGGGCATTTCTCCGCTTCCTACTATGTATCCTAAATATTTAACCGATTCCCTAGCGAACATACATTTGCTGGTTTCACATGTAATTTTGCGTTTTAAGAATTGAAAAAACCTTTTGCATGTGTGTTAAATGCTCTTGCATGTGTTACTGAATATGGCTAGTCATCTATCTACGGGACTGCGTATTCACTGCACGGCGCTAAAAATGCGCCATCATTCTACTGCATTGATATGGCGCGTTCTTTAGGCCAAATGGCAATCGCAGTGGCGATTATGTCCCAAAGGTTCGTGACAAATGCAGCTAGTCTCTGCGCTCTTTGGCGTTAACCTATTTGCCAGTAGCATTTAGCTAAATCAAGAGTGGTGATTATTTTGGCTGCCCCACCGTCTCGATCCGCTCTTCCATATTAGTAGTGGAAAGTATTCTGTTTATAATTCTGTTTAATCGCCTGTAATCAATATCAATCGAGGCTTCCGACCGTTGCTTCTACTAATATCATAGGCGACGTGTATTCGCTATCGCCTACTTCGATAATGCCATCGCGTAGGCATTTTACTAATTTCGTCCCGTAATATCGCAGATTGTCTTAGGCGATGTACGATACGGAGCACTACGCACGGGGTTGATCGTCTGACAGCTCAATGTCATTGTAAGGCGCATCCGTTAGTCCAGGTTTTTCAGAAAAGATATCGTGGTACTTCATTATTAATTGTTCGAGTTTGTCTCTGAACTCGGCGGAATTTTGGTACCTTCCAGCATTTCTGTAAATAAATTCGCTCGCATCGAGGTGAACGGCATATCGGTCAATTTCGTCCCTCTACCTGTTCGCAGCTTTCAATCGTTTCGCCACGTACTTATGTACTCAGTACGCTGATATACTGTTTCAGCATATTACATGGTACACTCGTCCGTCTTTTTTCCCGGCAGTAACACCACATAGTTTTGTCGGAGACTTTTTCCTTGATCTCGCCCGGGGCGCTACCACTGTACGCTCAGTTCCGGGTACGATTTGGCGTCGACCAGCACCTTGTCACCGGCCAAAAATGTGCGACTCACTGCTCTGCGGTCATACCAGACCTTTCTACGTTCCTGCTCGTTC